ATTTATTTTCCTTTTAATCGTGTGTATATATGTGGAACTGAGTGGGTATGTACACATGTGAGTGAGTTGCTTCAACATATATGTATTTCCCTATGAGGTAGATAAAAGTCACTATTTTGTTAGGAACACTAGGTAAAATTTTAGGATTATGCATTGAAAGCACTTAAACAGTAAAATCATCAACAAAAGCATCATAAAAATACAATGACTGTGTTACAAAATCTACAAGGAGAAGGACAGTTGTTCCTAGTCAGAAGAAGTTATAATGTAGTCTTGTTTTCACCTCCCCTGGGAGACTGCATTAGGCATCTCAGTCTTCAGTTTTATTTGTAAAATTTCAAATGAGGAAAAACACCAAAAGAAGGATTTGATTTGGCTGATTTTAGGGAGTTTAATTAATTAATTAAGATTAATGTTAGGACATGAGTAAATTTGAAAATATGGGATTTGAACTGAAAATCCCAACTATCAGCTGGCTGAGATGCTCCTTATTGGGTTCTGTCTAGCATTTCATGAATTGTCACAGTGGTTACACTGTATTTGGATTGTGCTCCAAGAATACATCCTCTGGTGATGAGAGAGAGTAGGAGAGGCATCTCATCATACACTAGCAGATAGTTTGAGAATAAATGGAACTGTGGGAAAGTGAGCTTGTAATTGCTGGGTGAGTCTTATCTCTTACCCACCTTACTATACCCTCTTATCTACCCTCCACTTTCTCTAAGGTTTACGAACAAGCAGCTCCCTCAGTGTAAACAAACTTGCCTTCTGATGCTTTATTAAGGCTGTGAGATTGCTTCCGGATCACACATCCTTCCATTCTCCCCCAAAATCCCAGACTTCTGAGAGCACACACATGAGGACTTCAAACTGAAAGAATTTTTTTTAAAAAGTGCCTACCCTATAAACATGCTTCATGGGTTTGCCTTTGTGTGTGTGTGTGTGTGTGTGTGTGTGTGTGTGTGTGTGTGTGTGTGTGTGTGTTTTCGAGACAGGGATTTTCTGTCCTGGATCTTGCTCTGTAGCCCAGGCTGGCCTTGAACTAGAGATCCGCCTGCCTCTGCCTCCCGAGTGCTAGGATTAAAGGCGTGTGCCACCACCGCCGCCGCCGGACGGGTTAGCTTTTTTTTTTTAATCATGTTTATTGTTGCTGTTGTTGATTTCTTTTGTAATTTATAGATAAAAGTTTTAAGTAATATGGGGTATACAGATTGGGATTGTTTTCAAATTTTGAAATTTAATTTTTTCTGGTTATCTTAAAAATTGTATAAGAATAAAAACCGGCAAAAAAATTAAGGTTATATGACTCAGTATGAAATGTGTAGAGGGATAAGGTAGTGAAAGTAAATATTTTGGAAATAATAATGGCAGAAATGACAAATGAGAGAAAAGGTCATATTTAAAGCATTTGTATGTATATTAGATGGGAATAAGTGTGGGCAGAGATCTGGAAACCAGAAAGGGGTCCTTAAGAAGAGAGAGTTTTAGGAAAGAGTGTTGGGAGAGTAGTAGAAAATGTGGTATAAGGACTCCTGTGAAGTGCTCAGCAGGTAGAAGCACTTGCCACCAAACCTGAAGGCCTGAGTTCAAACCCTGGAATGAATATGGAGAATGAACCACTCCTCCTCCAAGTTGTCCTCCGATCTCCACCCCCCCCCCAGTATGGTACGCATATGGCCACACACGTACACACTACTGTATGTGTGTGTGTGTGTGTGTGTGTGTGTGTGTGTGTGTGTGTGTGTGTGTGTATAGAGAGAGAGAGAAAGACATTCAGCACACACACAAGAGAGACAGAGACAGAGACAGAGAGAGGGGGGTTTAAGTGGAGTCACCCTACATAGGGACTAATGCTTCTCCCAGAAGCCATAGTTTGTCAAACAAAATGCCAAGTGCCAGGTGTGAAAGACCTCCCCCCAGGTTGGTCAGGGAGTTTCCAGAGACCCCTAAAAGAACACAGGTGTTTGCCATTGCTCTTGGTTACCTGAAAACACTTGATAAGACTCTACTGCTAAAGACACAACACACTTTGCTCATAGGACATGAAAAAAACAAACTGGTGTCAGCCTGGAAGCTTAGTTCCTGGTGGTTAGCTGTCACAGCACTGGAAAGTTTCAGGCAGGCTTCTGGGGGTGGGTGGGGGAGTCAGCAACATTCTCATTTGGGTGAGAACCACATGAGCTTCAGCAATGATTGGCCTTGCAAGACATGCCCATGTGTGCAATGGTGGTATGAATGTTATGAGAGTTATAACTAGTTTCTGGTTTGTATTAAGACATGTTTCATAGGAGGAAACTCATGCCTGGTACTGTAAATTTGGCCAAGAACCTGTGGTTGGGGAAACTCATATGTCTTTGAGGAGAACTGTATATCTTGCTAAAGTGATACAGTATCAAACTGTCTTCTAAACTTACCTCTGTACCCATAGATAAACCCAGTTGTCAGTCAGAGAAGCTGCTTTCGACAGTGTGCAGTAGTTAATGAAGAGACTTACAAGTTGTCAAAGTGCAGAGAACAAATGTCTGTGGAGTGCTCAGCCCAAACGGGACATCTATATTATATGCCCTTCCTCCAAAGCTCAGGGGATACTGTGGAAGAGGAGTAGACAGAATTAAATGCCAGAGGTCAGAGAGGACTGTTGTGAAACAATATCTTCAGGACATGGCATAACTGTTGTCTTGATGAGCTCACAACAGCTATGGTTATTTGCACAAGAAATGCACAAGTTCAAGGCAGACATATGCAAGCATCAATGAGAGGAGGGGTCCATGAGCCCCTGCAGAGTTGAGAAACTGTTAGCAGTCGATGGCTACTGGGAGAGGGGGCATACACCGTATAACTCCAGTGATAGGACATTCTGAAAAGGTAAAACTACAAAGACAATAAAATAAAAGGACGATTGTCAGGGTTGAGGAAAGAGAGAAGAGAGAGCCGCAAGAGGCATGGTTTTCTTCAGTGTTGTAATCTTAGGTAGGCTGACCAAACTCTAGTGCAGTGGTTCTCAACCTGTGAGTCTCGACCCCTTTGGGGATTCAAATAACCCTTTCATGTATCTGATATTCTGCATATCAGATAGTCGCATTATACTTCATAACAATAGCAAAATTACAGTTATGAAATAGCAACAATTATGAAATAATTTTGTGGTTAGAGGTCACCATAACTTGAGGAACTGTATTAAAGGTTTGCAGCATTAGGAACATTGAGAGCTATTGGGGTAGTGGATAGTTTCAAATCCATGTACATTTTGGTAGTGCTAATTTTGGACTCAGGGTCTATGAAAACAAAAAGAAGAGTGGGAGGAAGAATGGAAGGAGAAGAGGAGGAGGACACATGAGGTTGTGAGAGATCCAGAAAGAGTTAAATGGGCTTGTGGGTGTGGATATGATAAAAAATACATTGTATTTGTGTGTGGAACCCTCGAAGAATAAAGTAAACATTAAATTTTACAAAAGAAAAGAAATGTGGAAGATAGAAACCAATTATTTTTTGGAAGATTATGGGTGGAAGCTAGATAGGAGTTTGTAATATCTGTCTTGCAAGTTGGGTCTAAGGTGATGGCTTTGCAGTTTCTGCATACATTGCTAGTAGTGTCATAGTGACAAGACATGGCATCTCCGCAGGCATCTACACCTCCGTCAACAACTTTTCTCCCTGCTCCAGGGCTTTGGGGTGACATCCCCTAGTTGCAGTTTTATAGAAGCTATTTTCTCCTGTTCCTCTCACACTCCAAGAGCCTCTGATTCTTGTAATGTCTATGATAGTTTAGCTTCCCTAAACTAGCCTCAATTCTTTAATACACCTTGTAATCCTCAGAGGGTCTCCATCCTTCCCAGTGCTGTGCCTCAAATCCAAATCAAATAAACCACAACACAGAACCAGATGATACCAAATGTTGGAAATGGGGGAGAGAACCTCTCTCATTTGTTATTGCTGAAATATGCAAAACAGTAATTACCTTGGAAGAATTGTGGATTTTTACAAAACTAAATATTGTCTTAGTATAGATTCCAATTATACTCTTTGGCTGGTTGGTATTTGGCCAACAGTGTTGAAAATATGTGTCATACAAAAACCAAAACACAAAACTGCTACACAGAGGTTTTGTACCAGTTTTATTCATAAACACTGAACATTGGAGGCAAATGAGATCTCTTGAAAAAGAAAGTAAATAAACAAATTATGGCAAATCCATGCATCACTATGCAGTAATGAATATAAATGATCTATATATGCAGGCAACTTCAATGGGTCATTGATAGTCTTGAGATGTACAAAACACACTACTCCACTTATGTGATACTCTGGGGAAGGTAGAACTACGAGGACTATGATGAGATAGATGATTACCAGCATTCAGGAAGAGGAAAGGACAGAGCAGGGACTTGGAAGGACAGCCAAAGGACTCTGTAGATACTTTAGTAGATGTGGGACATTACACATGTGCTAAATCCAGTAAGTGGCATACTGTGAAGTTTAAGTTACACAATTTTACAAAATCATCCAGGAACTCAAAGGCTCAAAAGACAGCATGAATGTGGGATATCCCAGGAGAATTTATTTTTTGTGTAACTACTCCAAATGTTTAAGGAATCTCACCCAATGTGTGAAGGGTATGTGTAGGGTGGGTGGAAGACCTGTCTCAACTTTGGAAAGGAAAGGTGTATGTCAGATTAAAGCAAAAGGAATTGCACAGGTGCATATTATTTAGTTGATAAAATGTTATTTCTCATCCAAGTACAGATGAACAATTTTGCTATATATGCTATTGCTCTGTATCTATCATCTATGTATTTAGGCATATATCCATGTAGCTACAAATATCTATTATATGTCTTTATAATATATATAAATATATATGTATATATATATGAATTTATGGCTCTGGATTTATAACTATGCATTTGTTTACCTATATCAGCTAATTATCTATGGGTCTATATCTATGTATTTATCTATTCACATATTATTTATGTCTATGTATATATGCATTATGTATATATCTACCTATATATGTATCTATCACCTATGTATCTATGTGATTATCTATGTAGCTACTATCTATGAATCTATACTTTATGTATGTATGTATTATCTATTTATCTATCATCTATCATCTGTCTGTCTGTCTATATAATCTCTGTATTTATGTATCTATACTCTGATTAATCAATTAACTAAATGACTGAGATATGGTAAGATCCATATTTCCCACAGTTGGAATGGAGATTTATAGAGATGCACTGAGAAGAGGCAAAAATGGTCTATGTAGTTATGAATCAGATTTGGTAACATCCATGATAATTCTGTAATTTATTGTAGATATTGTTATTAATAACAAAAACTAAAAAGAAGACATGAAAGTGAGATAGAGATAAGGGTCCTAGAAAAGTTGAAGGTGGCAGTAGATGGATATGATCAATATGTATAAATGTGTGAGACTTTCAAAGAATAAAAATGTTATTCTTTTTTTTTGGGGGGGGTGGGTTTTGAGACAGGGTTTCTCTGTGTAGCTTTGAAGCCTGTCCTGGAACTCACTCTGTAGACCAGGCTGGCCTCGAACTCACAGAGATCCGCCTGGCTCTGCCTCCTGAGTGCTGGGATTAAATGCGTGCACCACCACTGCCCGGCTAAAAATGTTATTCTTTAAAAAGGAAAAAGAGAGTAAATGCTCTCCAGTCCTCAAGGATCTTGACTTGGCATTTCTACATCCTGCTGATTTACACATTCCGTATCATACCATGTTCTATGGTTTGTCTTAATATAAGTGAAGATAGGTTCCATAGCACAGCCAAACTCTATAATACTGGAAACACCACTTTCATACTCACAAATGACACCAGCAGTGTGCATGGCTATGAGTGATCCTTTAGAATCGAATACAGGAGATCCCGAAGACCCACAATAAAAAATGTTGTCCCAGGTAAGCACACCAGGTTCATGGACTGTTTCTTGGAAACTTCTCTGGGTGTACATATAGACATACTGTGGAGGGTTGCTGCCACCCACTGCTTCTCTTTCCTGAATGTGCTCATCTCGAGAAACCAGAACACAGCCATCACTAAGCTTCTCTTTTGTATCAGGATGACCAATCATATAAATCAATCCACTGGATGGTACAGGAGCTATTCCATTATATAGCCCTGCAGGGACTTGTTGTTCATTTTCTTCCAGTTTCAGGACAGCGAAGTCAAGGGTTTCATCATATATCTCAAACCAAGATTCAATGGAAAAGCAGTTGTCTTCATTTGCATCAAATGTGACTTTTGCACACTGACTAATTTTTTCTGCCCACTTACTTTGCTCTGTGCCTTTACCCACAATGTCATTTATCACATGCATACAAGTGAAAACATAGAATCCTGTAAAAACAAAGCAGGTGGCATAGCCCTCATTTCCGTTGTTGTTCCAAACTATGAGCCCAACTGAGTCACTGAACTGTGAAAGAAGTTTGAGCACTCTAGTTGGGGTGGAGTTTTTTGTCAGTTTCCTGAAGTTTTCTCTGTGCATTTCAAATGAGGAAGTTTTCTTACTTTGTTTTTCACTTTCTTCCTTGATGTATGCTCTGAGTTTTTTACACTCTCTCTTCAAGGTGAGGTACTCGTTCACAGTGTATTCTTTTAACTCATAGTAAGATGGCTTCTCTAAGTCAGTGAAGTCTGCTGCCTGAGGACAACTTTTTCTCTCAACCTCGACCTGAAAGAGCTTGTCCTCTAACTCATCAACTGGCTGGGTGTTTTCTATGATGGTGTCCAGGTCATTAATGAGCTTCCAATGGTCACTCTCCACAAAGGAGTGAAACCTGCCATCCTTCCTCAGAGTGTCCTTAATGCTCTCTCCCTTGAAGCCATAGACACAGAGTTTGTTCCCCTCTTGGTGAAGGTCTCTGCACTTGAGAATCCTTTCGTTCCTCTTCCCAACTGCGTGAATGTAAAATTTGACGCAGTCTGCATATACCTGGTCCTGCAAACCAAACACTTGTTTACTTTCTCCCTGCTCACTTTCGGTTTTAGAGAATGTAATGATCATGTGGCTGCCTTCTGGAAAACAGCAGAGAGGCATGCCAAGATTTATATACCCTTTGATTCCTTCTTTCCCACACACCAGCATTTCTTTGCCTTGTTGATTTTTTATCTCTTCTTTGACAGCATCGAGAGTGTTGAGTGCTGTGTATAAGCTATCTGTCTTCCTATGTGTGAGCAAGTATTTCATTTTTTCATTTTTCTTGTGATTTCCATCTAAGGTGATGCTGACTGTCTTATATGGGGAAGTGATCTGATCTTGCCGACATTTCTTAGTTGAATATACCCATTGTTCCTGTGTGTTGGTTTGCTCACTTGCTCTTTTTCTAGATTCCACCTTACTTTGGTCAATATTGCAATCACTCTTTTCTCCTTTGGGGACCTAAAAATAAATGGTAGATAATCTAATGTTTCCATTTTTGTGTGTATGCAAATTCACAGAATTCCTGTGGGAAACTCAGTACCAACCTCAAAAGACCAATGAGTAGAAATAATCAGAGTTTAACTTGGAATCCAAAATACAAGCTCAACTTCCTATCAAATTAGTCAGATAATCTCCTCACATTGCGTATGGTACATTTCCCAACCAATAAGAGAGAAGACACAAGTTATTCAGATATTTTAAATATGCTAACTTCCTGATGGAGCATTTTAGGTCTTGCTTATTATTTAAACAGTAGAATTTTCATCTTTGCCAAGCACAGTGGTATATTGCACTGGCAATTGTATTCATTTGTTTATTTGTTAATGTTTTTCTGTTATACAACTTCATTATGTACGCAAGGCCTCCCTGGAACTCTTCAGTTAGTCCCTGTTGGCCTCAAACATATGATTGCCTTGCTTATGTCTTCCAGTGCTGGGATTTTAGAGATACCTCACCATGCCAGGCTTTATAATTTTTAGTTTAAAAACCTCAAAATCAGAAAGAGTTCAGTGCAATGATTTAGTATCAGGTATTCAGCACTAATACTAAAAAGATCATTAATTAATTATTTGCTCATAAAAATAGTTATTTTTGGTAATTCATACCTTGACTCACTCAGCATCTAACATGCAAGAACCCACCACAATCCACCATTACATCAATATCCAAATCCTATGTGGAATATTCTTTCACATTGTCTGAATAGATGATGCTGTGACTGGTTTTATAAAGAAGCTGAATGGCCAATAGCTGGACAGGTGGAGTTTAGGCAGGACTTTCAGACAAAAGAGAACATGAAGAAGAGGAGGAGTCTAGAGGTCTTGAGGAGACACGGAAAGAAGTAAAATGAAACTTGCCATGTTAAAAAAAAAGGTACTGCCACGTGGCAGACTGTAGATAAGAAATATGGGTTAATTTAAGTTATAAGAGCGAGTGACAAACTGAGCTATCAGCTAAGCATTTATAATTAATAATAAGTCTCTGTGTGGTTATTTGGGAACTGGCTGGTGGGAAAGAAAAGTCAGCCTACCAATGGTGTTCCAATATAGGGCTGGAATTTCCTCATATGACCTAAAAAAGCTTAAAAAAGATCCTAAGCACGCAAAAACAGAGCCAAATGTCGCCTCCTGTTAACCACATTTTCTCAGGTAGACTTGGTGCTAGTGGCAAAGAGCTGCTCAGCTCCTTTAAGAGGCAGCTTCCTGGCTCATTGCTATCAGCAAACATGGGTACAGCTCTTTTAAGAGGCCCTGCTACCAAACACTTAAATGGGATTTATGAGTAGTGGGTGGCAGTGTGGACCCATCAACTTCCCAGAGCTGGGGTGGTAAATGTGGCTGCCACCAGTACCACTGCCATGAGGCTAAGCTCCCATGGAACCAATGGAGAAGGAGCCAGCAGCCAATGCCTCGTGTCAATGCATGAGCTAAGCTGAGCCATGATGACAACTAACATAGCAGTTTAAGATTTGTCTCATGTGAGCAAAAAACAATACCAATGCTAGGTAAAGACAGATCCAGATGGAAAAAACTCTAAACTGGCTACAGTGTGTTTAAAATATACATAGGCTTGGGAGAGAAAATATATATATAGTCATAGAATAAAAAATAGTGTAAAATTAATGAAGTCCTTAAAAAAGGAGTGAAGTAAAATTTTATATATATATATATATATATATATATGCATACATACATATATATGTATGTATGTATATGTGTATATATGCCATGTAAAGATAGGAAATACACAGAGAATCTGAATTCTATATATTATTGTGTTATCTTTAGATTTCCTGATTGCTAATGAAGGAACAACAGCTGCTAAGACACATTGGATTATGAAAACTGCTGGATTAAACCAACCTATATATTCTAAAAATATCTTGACTTCAAAGTGGAAATCAAAAGGTATGTTGTTTTTGGGGGAGAGGTTATGCTTTTATTTCCACAGGAAATGAGAGGCTATGAATTCATTTCATGTTGATATGGATCATGTTTGATTGGGGAAGACCCCCAAAAATCCTGGCTACAGCCATAAAGAAATAAACCTAGGAAAACTACAAAACATGTAATATATATTTTACAGAAGAACTTTGGATGACTGTCCAGACAGCCAGCTGTTTCTGTCAACTCTTAGTTTTGGCAGTCATTTGCTCTATATTTCCTGTTTACTTGGGTATAATTATATCCTTCTCAGGTTTTTGATGGGATTGAAGACTAGATAGTTACAGTAACAGTTCTCCCTAATCATGGCAGAAAGCAAATTAGGTACAAAACTCTCCACTCTTGAGGAGAGGACAGCTGATGAAGTATTTTCTCTATTTTGCCAAATACAAATGGACTGGATATTGTAACTGTAATTCTTACTTGATAACTGTTTTGTTGTACATTTTACTTTGCTAAGGTTAAAACTTTCCTTTTTAATTAGACAAAAAGGGGGAAATGTGGAATATTACTTTCCACTATCTGAATCTGTGTTGCTGTGATTGATTTTATAAAGAAGTTGACTGGCCAATAGCTGGACAGGTAGAGGTTAGGTGGGACTTGCAGACAAAAATAGAGCTTGAAGAAGATGAGGAGGAGTCTAGGAGTCTTGAGGAGACATGGAGAGAAACAAGATGAACTTGCCATGTTAAAAAATAAAAGGTATCACCATGTGGTAGAGCTTAGATAAGAAACAGGTTAATTTAGGTTATAAGAGTTAGTGACAAATTGAGCTATCTGCTGAGCATTTATAATTAATAATAAGTCTCTGTGTGGTTATTTAGGAAGCAGCGGGTGGGACAGAGGTGATCAGCTGTCTAGATGGAAAACACCTACAATAAGTGGAGAAGAAAAAGACTTCCCTGAACTTTTGATAAACATATTGACATACTGAACATTTTCCTTTTGAGTTCCTTTCCTATTATCACATAGTAACCAGCAAAGGAACTGGTCATGTGAATGTTAATACTCAGTTTCCAATCATCTCCCACTGGCCTATGCATTCTTTTTTGTAAACTTTGTGCCCACAATTTCTATTTTTATAAGATGTTATTTCAAGGACTGGGGAAGTGTGGTGGTTGGGATTAAGGAGGACTGATTCAAACAATGTAAAGCGAAAGCATCTGCCTCCTGTGTTTGGAAGGTTCATTTTCCCTAAGTCATGTTATCATGAAAATGATGCCAACAGTCACCCTTCATATTCCAGCAATGCTACACACTGGTAGTAAGGATAGCAGTGACAAAGCACGGTCAAGATTAAACCTCTTGTCATTTGAAATAACACTAATATTCTCAGATTTAGAGATTAAGAAGAATGTAAGACAACATAAATTTACTCTGGCCGTTCCTAGATATTCCCCTAAAGCATGTCTGCAGTCTAAGTGCTGTCACCAGCAATATTGTTGTCATGCTGTGTGGAGTGCTGTAAAGGATTTTCAACTTTTCAAAGACATTTGGGTCAATTTAGATACTTTTCCCTGTGAGTGTGTGGTGTTGTGGTTATTGCTGTTGTTTTTTTTTGGAATATTATACAGCCCTGATTCAGCAGGAATGTGAAAATTTCCTTCCTGCTTACAGAGTGCTGGGGTTACAGGTCTTGCTTAGCCTGAAACTTTTAAGGGAAAGGGAAGTAGTGTGTGTGGTTATCAGATTATTGCTCTAAAATAGAGCAAGACAGAGACATATCCAGGCTTGACATGGATTTTCTAGCTATTTGGGTCTTCTAGCTTTATGGAACTTGGATAAGAAGAAATAGGCAGAGGCTTTGAAGCAGCATCCTCAAATGCCTGTCAATACTCAACCTTTTTGGTATGTTCAAGTGAGCTTTATAAATACAGAAAAGGGTCATTTTTATAGCCAAGCCTGGAGAGAAGGAGGAGTTCTGATTTCACACCAGAAAATTTACCCAAGTCTTCAGTTTTCCTTCCGGCAACTCTCTTTTCTTCCTCTCCGTAAAAGAACAGCAAACACAGTCTTCCTCATTTGTCTAACAAGATCACAGTAAGAACCAATATACAAAAAAAAAATCATTTTATAAACTTAAGTAGTATAAGGCTATAGGTTGTTCTGATTCAATAAATCATCTGTACTCAGAACATTTCCATGCTGTGAATTAGTATTGATTTCATTTTCCCAAAGTTTACCTTGCATTTGATATTTTTGTTATTATTATTGTTGTTGTTGTTGTTTTAGGCAAAATTACAATAGTTTCCCTTCAGTAAACGACTACTTTAATGTGATTTAAACTTGAATTACAAATCCCTTCCCAATTCAGTGCACTAAAATAGAAAGAACCGGGTAAATGGGGGTGACTTCATAATGCACAAGGAAGCAGGTTCCTGGCAGGAAGAACTATGCAATTTAGGACCAAGTATGGCCAAGTCTATTATGTGTATATTTTGTAGCAGGATATATAGACATACCTGAGAAGAATGATACATGGTTTTCACGGTTCTACTTATATCACAAAGGCTGCTCTGTGACCTGCAGATGGTCCACCTGAAACACTAATTTCAAAATGATTCAGTATGTGGCAGAATCTGTAGAGAGGAAATGATTCATTAGGGTCCCGTATCCCACGTTAGCTCTGGCCTTGCTTGCCCCAGTATGCTAAATTAGGAAGCAGCTAACTAACTCACCAAGCATAACCACTCCAACAACAAACAGAGAGTATTCTGTGTCAAGCACTACCCTAAAATTTTTAACAGAAATTACCTCTAATTGCTAGCCCCACAATCATCATGAAAAGCAGGCTTTCCTTAGATTTTGTTAGGGGGAGAGAATACCATTGACAAGAGACATCACATGCCCAAGCCTAGAAACTGAAGTAAAGACCGAATTCAAACACAAAAAGAAAAACCCCACATAGCAGCTTGCAGTCAGGGAATTCAAAAGTTTTCTACCTACCTTGAAGTCAAGCCCTGGTTTTCCTTTAAGATGAAGGTAGTAAAGCTATGGTAAATTTGCAGAACAATAAATAAGTAGGCGAAGAACTCGGCAGTACCCTGAAGACAAAAGAAAGAAGGAAAAAATATCAAAATAAGATCTGGGAAAAAAATATCCAAAATGATAGCTTAAATCACTGCTTCAGTATTTTTTTTTTGGTTTTGTTTTTTGTTTTTTGGATTTTTTTCTGTCCAAAGAGGTATTTTTCCCTGCATTTTTCTTTTATTCTCTCTCCAAAAGAGAACATTTTGAATTAAACATTAAAACCTTCATTAGCGCTAAATACCATCAGAAGGATCTATGTTTATTTATTACCTCACCATCTAGACAATACCCAGCATATGGCAGACCTTTCTGGTACATTCGTAAAGAAAGATACATTCATGGAATGGGAGGAGGAGGGCCTGTGATGTGCTGGGCCATATTCCAAGGGCTTTTCCCCAAATAGGTCACACAGCTCTTGCAATCTTGTGAGATGGGTAATAATAGTCCCACATTAGCCACAAAATAGAACATTTTTCTGATGGAAAAGACCGAGGAACATATCATGAATTTCCAAATATGTATCACATGACTAGTAGTATTTTCTCTTTTTGAACATCTATTTTGTCTTTCATTTAATAGGTGACAGAATCATCATGACATTTTAAACCCAAGTCACTTTTCATCTCTAGAAATGAAGGACCTTATCTTCTACAGTCACAGTGCCAATTTATCTATGCCAATAAAAATAAACAGAGATATAGAAATCATCTTTAGTTAACCATTTTAAGGATTTGTTTATTTATTTTATGTGCGTGTGTGTGCCTGAGTACATATTACACCATGCAAATGCAGGGCCCATGGAAACCAGAAAAGGGTGTACAATTCCCTGGAACTCGAGATACAGGTGGTTGTGAGCCAGTATGTGCTGGAAATGAATCTGTCCCCTGGGGAAGAACAGCGAGTACTCTTAACTACAGAATAAACCTTTTTTTTTTTTTTTTTTTAAATACAGGATCTTGCCATGTAATCCCATCTGACTTCAAACTTGTGATCACCTCGTCTCATCTTCAGTGGTGGGACTATAAGTGCATACCACCAACAAGACATAACTGTGTACTTTAACAGTTTTATCATAGTTATTAGTCTATTGAAAAGAACAGAGCAATTGACTCAAGAATTGTCACCTCTGGGTTGTTTCTTCACACTGTTGTGTAACTGATTCACTAAGTCAAGTGGGAGCCATCCAGAGACTAACCAATTATCTTAACCCCTCTCCATTGTGGAACCCAAGCCCTAGAGTTCTGTCAATAACTACTACTGATGAGTGATGATGAGAAAAATCTACATAACCCATCTGGACCTAGTTTCTCATTGGTAAAAAGCAGCAGCAACTGTAAATGAGACAAGGACATCTTATGAAAACATACACAGTGCCAACAAGTCTGGGCTCAGCTCAGACTGCACTCGACGGCTTCCTGACCATGAGCACAATGGCTATCTTCTGCGTCTTCCTCACCCTAAGATGAGTGGTATAGAATCAACATCGACTATTGTGAAGATTAAAAATATGTCATGTAGCTGGGCATGGTGGCACACACCTTTAATCCTAGCACTCAGGAGGCAGAGACAGGAGGGTCTCAGTGAGTTTGAGGCCAGTTTGGTTTGCAAATTGAGTTCCAGGACTGCCAAAGCTGTTACACAGACAAACCCTCTCCTCAAAGCAAAGCAAAGCAAAACAAAACAAAATAAATAAATAATAAATAAAATGTGGATGAAGGCTTCAGACAATGGCCATGTGTCACAGATTGCTCAGGGAACATTACTGCTAGTGCTGTAATCAACACCCTTAACCAAGGACATTTTTAGAACAGTGGAGATTCTGAGAAAATAAAAGTTGGAAAGTAAGTGGGAAACTGGACTATGCTATAAGATTTCTGAGGGCACAAATTTATTTCTCAATCAGTCAGACAACTTGGGAATTACTGTTATCTGCTGATGACTCATCAGATGGACTCATTCAGAAAAAGAAAGTGAACAGATATGACAGGGCAACACGGAAGTTCCTCCATCTTGTAGTCTTGCTGAGGCCATTTTAGGTTTAACTCAATTTGATCTCTTAGATGGAGAATCCCATGGAAAATTATGCAACTATTCTAGGATCCAAGGCCAAGATGCCCCAGCTAACATAACTTCTGTAGAACTGCCTGCTTGTACAAACTTCCTCTTCCAGCTGCTGAACAAGATAGCAGGTTGTGGTTCTCCTCTTTAAAAGCCCCTTAGTCTAAATGCTCCAGGCTACTACACTTGGGTTCCAAATACTTGAATGTAGTCTTCGTCAGCTGTGATAAAGACTTTCAATTGGCTACACACTGTCTGATTGGTCCTCTCTGGTGGGCTTCCCTTAACACAGAGCGTAATCTGAAGTTTGCAGTTCCCTTGTAAGTTTTTGAGTAAGAGTTAAGAGGCTAAGAAAATACTTCATATCCATTTCCCCAGCCCTGCCTTTTCCAGAATTCAGACAGAACCATGTTATAGCAAAATATTCAATGCTTGCAGGTATCCTAAACTAATCTATGTTGTGATGGGATAAACTAAGATTCTACTCACCTTGATAAAGTACTTGCTGTCTCTTCTTCATTAAAGTGACCAAGTAGAGTTCGAGGCCAGCCTGGGCTACCAAGTGAGTCCCAGGAAAGGCGCAAAGCTACAGAGAAACCCTCCCTCGAAAAACCAAAAAAAAAAAAAAAAAAAGTGGCCAAGTAACAGAGCCTTTTAAAAGACCCTGCTCCAGCCCCCCCTCCAGCCCTCCCGTCTCCAACCCCTCCCCAACCTCCTCAGCCCACCCCCAGATCCCCAGTCACTTCCCCTGCAATTTCTCTTTGTCACTCTTCTGTCCTTTTCTTTCTCTGCCCCATCCTCCTTACTTCTAGTTCATTCTTCCTCCCCCTCCCTCCCCCCACCATTTCCTGACCCTTAAAGATCTTTAAAGCTTCCTAGCAGTCTGATTTTTTTTTTCTCTCTCTCTCAGTTTCAATTTCCCAGGCTAGACTTTTCAGAAGCAAGATGGACAGTTAAGTGACACCTTCTCCTGATCTACCACATTGTTCCCTCCAGGACACAGTGGGTAAAGAAGCAGTCACCAGAAACCTGTGCTTTCCTGGTCCTCCAAATGAATTACACTTCTGGCTCAGTGCTTAAGAGCAGACAATCCCAGCCTTTGCAGCCTCAGGGGCTGAGTGCTGCCAAGCTCTTGCCCACCCCAGAGAGCCCCTATGAAGCCTGGGCACTCACCTATCTGCCTGATGTGTTGCTCACAGCCAACACCTGCTAGTGTCTGCTCCAGCTCCTGGCTCAGGCCAGCTCTTCTAGAAGGAAGACTCAATCACCAGTCTCCCAGAGACAGAGTTGGGCCAATAATAAAGCATCTAAGGAAGCCTTGAAAGCAGTATGGGAGGGTGGGTGAAAGAAACCTCACCCTTAGAAAATTACTATCTCTGGCCAATGGGTTTGTTTGGTTTCATTAATGCTTTGATTTTCCTTTTCTCCATTTTTTTTCTGGCTTTTAGAAAGGAAGGTGACTAGCTCACAAACTCCTGAGTTTCTTTATGACATCCAATTGGTTATTTTCTTTCTCTTCCAAACCTGCCAGGGTTTTCCTCTATTCACCTTCCCACTACCTCTCAGCATTTCCATTTCCCCCAGAATAACTGTAGAAGAGGGAGCCTGGCTATTTCCTGTGTTGCTAACAAAGGGCTGATTTTGTCTGTCAAAAATAAAAGTATTTCAAAATGTAATCATATAAAAGAAGTCTTCTATAGCAGGGAATGGTGGTGCACCCAGCACTCAAGAGGCAGAGGCAGGAGGATCTCTATACATTCAGAGTCAACCAGGTCAATATAGCAAGCTCCAGGACAGCCAGAGCTACCTACATAATAGAGAGAGCCTGTTTCAGAAACCAAAAACCAAACCAAGCCAAGCCAAAAAATCTTTAAAGGATACATTTACCCATTTTGCCAAATACAACTAAAGCAAACTGAAACTATTGCACCATCTTTCTTCTCGCCTCTGGGGGTAGAGACACCCACAGAGAAGATCTTAGAGCCCTGTACTGGTTCTAGCTGGATGTTGTTCAAATCTTAAATGGTCTTATAATAAAAAACACAGAGCCAGATATTGGGGTGAAAGCTGAAAGATCAGAGAAGCAGAGCAAACCACAGCCAACCTCACCTCGACAACTCCTTGACTGAAAGCCTCTGAGTCCTCACCCGAAAGGGTCTCAGTTGAACTGCTTTAGTTTCTGTTTCCTCATGCCTTAAATACCTTTCTCAGACTTAGAGGCTTTAAGTCGAGGAGCTGGTGAGGAGAGATTGGCTGTGGCTTTCTCTGCTTCTCTGATCTTTCAGCTTTCACCCCAATATCTGGCTCTGGGTTTTTTTTTTTTTTATTATGAGACCATTTAATATTCAAACAACATCTGGTACCCAATGTGGGGCATGAATTCATGAAAAAGTCACTTGCCTGTGGCCTTACAGGCCCCAGCTCAGGCCTGGAGCTGGAGTCCCTAGCCCACTAGCTAAGTTTCTGTTGCAGCCTCTGCAGCAAACTTTACAGGTCCAGGCTCCAAACACCCCAGAATTAGCTGCTTTTACATGTTCCCTGGTGCAGAAAGCTGGCTTTTTGGCTTCTTTCCTCTCCTGGTGGGTTCTGGCTTTCTTTGAGCCCTCTCTAGGGGCTACTGCCACACCATCATCTGAATTGTCATTGTCAGCAGATTTGATAAGTCAATTAAGATTTCTTAAAGGGAGGAATTAGTTAAAAGAAAGTTTTTTTCCCCACATTAAAAAATGAGGAATGCTTTTACAACAGAGAGTGTTTGGTCTCTGTTTGATAAAAGGATTGACATTCTGAAAATGAAACAATTAAATCAGAGGATAATTAATGTTGATGGGATTTATGTAATGTCAATTACAAATATTATTTGTTTGATCATTTTTGTTTTATCATTAAAAAAGTTGGTTAATATGAGTGCCAAGACAAAAGTTTTAGAAAAACTTATTAAAACAGATCATAGAGATATTCAGACCCAGACAGAAGAATTTAAAGAATTTAAAGGTGAACCAATCTCAGCATTACATTATAAGGTTACAGAGAAACAGCCTAAGGCTTTCAAACAGCCAGCCTTAATCTATCCAGTAACCTTACAGGAACTGCCAAGTGCCTAAGGCTGTGTTAAGAGCTGACTGGACTCCTGTGCAAATGTTAGACTTGAGGAGATTCAAAGAAGCTATAGTGTCATATGGTATGCATTCCCCATTTGTGAAACTCATGCTAAACCCATGGTCAACTTATAATAGAATTATCC